GTTGAACTATGAACTGCAGACAAATACATTGTCTTGTCTTGTCTTGTCTTGTCGATCAGTGATGTTTGACTATGAAATGAACTGGTTTGACTATGAATTAAAAAAGTTGAACTATGAACTGCAGACAAGTACATTGTCTTGTCTTGTCTTGTCGGTCAATGCCCTCTTTTTGACCTCGCATTTCGTATTTGAGATCATGCGAACATCCCACTTACTAAAAGTTTTTTTGTTTTCTTTTACAATATCATCGGCCCAAGGGGTGAGTGTTGTTGTTGCTTCCGCTTAAAAAACAGACAAAATGAAGAAGTTAAGATCAATAACATTTAATAAAACATTAATATTAAAAATTAACTTAATACCTGCAATGTTACGTCTTTGAAACCACCACTGTTGCATTGTTGCACGAAAAAAATCGATCAACATAAGTATCGACACCTTACGTGCGTGTCTAGATAATGCATTTATAGACTCCGCACTGTTGGACGACATAAGATTGTATCGGTTCCCTCTAAAATGTGCCCTAGACCAAGTTTCTGGATTTATACTTTTTAAGTACTCCCATACTGGTTCTTTTGTCTTTTTCATAAGTTCCATGGCAGCATCAAAAGCATCAACTGTGTACGCCCTACAAGCCTCCCAAAAAATTCCTTTAACTGTGTTACTCTTCCCGAATCTAGATACTATGTTGAAATACAAATGGACACCACATATTCCGTGATGAGCGTGAGGAAAAATGTTGGCAACGGATGTCACTATAGATGGAGACCTATCAGATATAATTGTAAGCTCCTGCATATTGCCTATGCAATCACGTAGTTTTTGAAAAAATCATGTCCAAGAATCTGTACACTCATTTTTACATATACCATATGCAATCGGTAATATTTGGTTTTGTCCGTCCTTAGTTATTGCAAGTAACATGGTACCTTTGAACTCGCCCTTTAGGTGGGCTCCATCTACTACAAGGGTCGGTTTACAAAAATTGACAAAAGCGCGTACCTACAATACATTGCATATCTATTCAAATACACCAAAATAAAAATGAAAAAATATTAAAATATTAAAATACTAACCGAACAACCAAGTGCGACGTACAAAAACTCAAAGCGATCATCACCATCTGTTTTAATATGTGTCACCGTACCCGGATTATGTTTGACCAAATTGTGGAAATAAGCCGGAAGTTTGGTAAAAGAATCCTCTTTCGTACCCCTTAACAACAACAATGCATATTGCTTCGCACGCCATGCCTGATGGTATGAGATATTGATATTCAATTGAGTATTCATATCATTAACAATATATTTTCCCCGATAAACTCTACTATAATCTTCAGCCAAAACATCAGCAAGATATTCACCCAAAACATATTTGTTTGCTTGTCGATGATTAGGTTGCAAAATTGTTCAAGAACATGTGTGTATATCAACAAATTTATTCACTTGGAAAAGTCCATCAGAATTTTTAATTGCTTTTGCTCTTAGTAACCAAGAACAATTTTTCGAAACACACACAGCCTTATACCTTGATTTGGTGGATTTATTTGTCCTCGTCTGAAAACCTTCTCGAAGACATTTTTTACCAATAGCCCGCTTTAAAAGTTCTTTGTTCTTAAATATACTCTCACAGTCAATCTTTTGAAGATTGATGTCTACCATCTGTGTTGGGATATCTTCATTAATATCAACTAGGCATGCTGGTAGAGGGGGCATAACATAAAAAAGGTTATCGGGAAACTTAGCTTTAACTTTATCACCCAACTCATATACATCTGAATTGCTTTCTAAGTCGGTTATATCTAAAGCTACATCAGCAACATCAACATAATTCCCGTAAACATGTTTTTTTTCATCTTTTTGACGCATAATTTTTTTTTTTTACTTTTATCTACTACACGCATATTCATAACTTTAACTTCTTGTTCGGGAACATTAACACAATGACCACCCACGCCATTAAGATATGTACCAACATCATCATCGCCAACATACTTGTAATTCTCAGGATCCACATAGTGAATAGGTGAATAACTAACATTAACATTTTCAGCAACACTGTGAAATTTAGGTACACTAGGAGTATTGAAAGTACCTATCGGATCGTTGCTCCCTTTATAGCTGCATAAATTACCAACCGGCTGATTTCCACTCTGACCAGCCTCATTAACCTCATCTCCTTCATCAACCACCACAAACACTTTCACAGCCCTTCCTCCACTACATTTGATTACATTTATCAACATTCTAACATCCATATCTTCAACTATGGCTGTATTATAATTCAATTCAGGATGATGGAAACGAAGACTAATTATATATTTGTCTAACAAACCAATTTTGCTTCTCACCAAAGATACAAAATCACTATAACTAATATACTCAGAAAATATCAAAGCGAATTCAGAAATACATTCCTGTGGACATACGTATTCCAGATTTGTTTCAATAACTTGCCATATCCCACCGTTTACAAGACAAACCAAATATTCAATCATTTTTTTAGAGAGATTTTAAAGAAATTTCCTAAAGAAATAACAAGTAAACTGATAATTTTCTACAAAAGTTTATATATAATAAGGTTATTTCGTAGTCAAACTCATTGATTTCATAGTCAAAATTCAAAAAAAAAAACATAAATTCGCAGATGAAAGAGAGAGGAAATCGCAGATGGACACAGTCCATCTGCGATTTTAGCCTGGTAAACCCCTATATATATACCAAAAAAAATTTAAAATAACCCACCTGCGAATGTACAAGTGGCTAAAGCACAACTGTGCTTTAGAGTTGTGCTTTAGCCACTTGTACATTCGCAGATGGGATGTGAAAATCGCAGATGGACCATTCCCATCTGTGATTTCTGTGGCCAAATTTGCAATTTCAATTTTTTTTGGTATTTTCCACAAAGTAATTAGTTTATTTGGCTAATTTTTTCATTTTCTCTATTAGTATTACTTGTAAATGTTATTCTATTTAATATCAATGTATTTTAGGGAAAACACTTTATTATCACGCTTTTCTTAACCTTTCTAAAAATTTACTTCTCAGAGGCACATCCTGAAGCCATTGAAGGCAATGGCTTGGCTACACCCGAAGCATACTAAAAGGATCTTGCTTATCTCAAGAGAAAGGTACAATCTTTTTACACAATTTATGTGTCCCAAAATACAACCTACTTTAAAATTTTAGGTGCTTTGAGGTAGTATTCCTTATGTTGACTGCTAACTTACAAATGACATTTTGTGTTGCAGATTGATGCTGCATCAGATGTGATTGTGACTAAAATTTTCTATGATGATAATTTTCTAAAATTCGTGAACGATTGTCACTAAATTGGAATAGCTTGTCCCATTGTTCCAAGTTTATGCCCATTAACAATTATAATTGCTTCATTAGGATGACCGGTTTCTGCAAAACTAAGGTATGCTGCCCTCCACCAAACTTGGTGTCCTAATCTAATAATTTATGATTCATCTTGCCATTGCATTTTTGCTAGTGAAGAAGACGATCAAATTAATTTATGGTGTTGCTGAAGATGGAGGTATGCATTTACTTAATTGCCCTTAATTGTTTATATCATTCTTTCTAGTGTGCTTGCTTACAGTTAATTTTGACTTTTTTATCCATGTTTTATGTATATGTGATGATATCATTATTCATTATTCACAAAGATCATCACTAGGCTCAACATGGTTATTGGTCTGATCATGGACAACATGAAGTGAATGATCTTGCTTTGTTGCAAATTATTGAGAGGTATTTTTTTATTAAGTGGTATTTAATTAACCGTGAACCTCATTTGTGTGATTTAATTATATAAAAAAATCTTTTTTTACTTATATCTTGTCGAGACTCTTGGGTTTGCTTATTGTTTCTGATGTTATACCAAATAACAATGGAGATATGATGGAGGTTGAGTTGTAGCCTCTTGTAGATAATTTTAGTAAGTCTAATTTTATCATATCAATAACATATTTTGTTTTGTGCAGCATCTTATATTGCTGAGGAATGAAGGAGATCAAATTGAAGATCTAACCCATCATTTAAAATGGTCCATCTACTAAGAATTCTCTCTCTCTCTCTCTCTCTCTCTCTCTCTCTCTCTCTCTCTCTCTCTCTCTCTCTCTCTCTCACATACACACACATACACACATACACTAAGTTACCCGTGTGTTCTAAGGTGTGTTTTGTAGCAGGTGTGAGCGTAAGCTATATGGAAGCTCATGAAATAGAAAAGATGACATCAAAGCTTTAGTGGCGGCAGGAGAAAGAGGACTACATCGTACTGGTGACTCCTTATGGGTTTTTTTATTATATATAAGTAAATATGTAAATTAAGTTTTAATATCGATATGGATTTGAAATTTATGGTTTTAATGTTTGTCAAATATTGAAACTTTTTTATTTTTATATTTCTTGGTTTTAAAATATGGATTTGATGTATGTTTTAATAATTTTATGGTTTTAATATATAATAAATTTGGATTTTTCATGAAATTTAAAAATTATATTTATACTGTCAGAATCCGTTGGTAATGCGTTACAAGAAAATCCGTCGGTATTCTGTCACAAAATATTCCGTTGGTAACCCGTTACTGAATTATTCCGTCGGTATTCCGTTGCATATATAAATCCGTCGGTAATCCGTTATTGATACCGACTGTAAAATCCGTCACTAAAATTTGTCGTAATGTCGGAAATCCGTTACAAACGATTAACAACGAGAATATACCGACATATTTGGATCAGTAGCAATTCCGTCGGTAAACCTATTACTGATGGATTACCGACGGTTTGGCCGTCGGTAATGCCCTTTTTTGTAGTAGTGGATTAAGACTCATCTAATCATCGGATTCATTAATTGCTATATTTTCTTTGGGTGTTTGCTTGTTTGTGTTCCGTCCAATTGCTAGTGTAGAACCCTAAACACCATCAATATATGAGCTTGAATACATATTTTACGTGTCATTGATCAAGACTAACTGGATTATTCTTAGAACCAAGATTCTTTTATTTCACATTACGTAATTTCCAACTACTAGTGTTGGTAACAACAATACTTAACAACACCATATGTTGTTAACGACACACCAAAAAAACACAACAACCTACTTAGTGATCTTATTAATGTAGCATCAGACCATATATTGATCTTGAAAGGCTTTATTGCAGCTGGAAACGACTGAACTAGATGGAGACGCTGTTTGGAACACCTTTTCCGGTAACACCAGCTTCAGAAAAAGGCTTGAGAAGCTGGTATGGAACTAACCCTGCACCACTTCGGTTCCTTAAATTGTGATCGGCATTCCTTGAATCTATGATGACTTCCATTTCATTAATTCTTGCACGAAACTCTTCATATGCTTTCTTTATAGCTGGCTCTGCCTCAAATGGCCCTTCTACAGTTTTACCAATATACTCCTCATCAGTGGAATGAGTTGATAAAACATCTAGAATCGCCATGACTATGGTTGCTTGCTTTTTGGAAGGGAAGCATTTCAACAACGCATCCTCAGGTCGATTTAAGAATATCTGCCACTCTTTATCTGTTGGGTCATCGTTAGGCATTTTGGTTCTGGCGATGGTTGGTCGGTTTGGGAAATAACCAGCAAAATCATATTGTCCGAAGTTCACAGCTGAATGGTGGCCGGAAGCCACCCATATGATCGTTGATACGATTCCAATCAAATCATCTTGGGTTTTGAGTTGTGGCCACCATGATTCGTCCTTCTTGTCTCCATGTCCAACTGTTCGAATTTCATTCCACCATGCTTGAAGCTCTTCATCAGATTCTACGAGGCTTGCTTTTGGGTAGTAGTTGTTGACAAAAGATGTAACCCACTGCTTGATGGCATCCCAAAGGATTAGACCGTCGTTTGCATATGGATAGTCCTCGATTGTTAGCTTCAAACCATGTGGTGCAGTTTCATCTTCAACAGCCATTCCCCTATAAAATATAAACATATAGATAAAGAGACTGCGTCGGATAAAATTAGTTGCATAAATTAAGTTAGGAAATGCACCTGCTAATCAGGTCAGCTGGGAGTGCCTCATGATCAAAACGCCACAACAGATCGTAGGCGTCAGAGCAAAGTTGCATACAATATTTTCCAGGAGAGAATGTTGACTCTATAATACCACCGGCATTAATGAGAGATTGTCGAGCTAGGGCGTTGATTTTCAGGGTGTACCGAAAATGAGGGTGGAGTAGTCGTGCAATAGGATGTATTTGGCTAAGATTACGATGGGTGGCAATTATGTAAGGCTCAATGGCACAATGAGTTCTTAGCCTGCAACGCAAATCAAATCATGATCATGATCAGCTCATCTATGAATTAATGTGATCTAGTTGGGGGAAAACATACAAACATGTGTAAATTAAGCATTAGCTCAAGGAAAATGGGAACCAATTAGTTACCAATGACTAACAAGCTGGTGAACACCAGAATCATGAGAAAGGACATGAGCCTTGGCTAGCTTCCAGAGCCATGAACCGGTTGCACCCAAAGAAGGTGTGTAGACATGCTTCCACTGTGGTTGCCATTCTGATGATGGACGAGTCAACTCTATGGCAACTGGGGTCAACGTTCCAGCAGGAGTAAGGAACATTAAAGTCCTTGAACCATATAGAGTTACCCCTTCAAGATCTCTTGTTTTGCTTACGTAGGGCAATAGCAGATCATGGTAATCCAACATGAACAGTTTCTTTTGTGCCAAAGCCTGCAACAACATGATTGATTTTTCAACATCAATCAATGGCGTTGTATATATTTAATTTTGGCCTTCTGGTTTCATTAATTACCTCATCAAATGTCATGAAACCTTTAATTTCTCGCTCTACAATCTCCTTGGTGATTGCTGATTCAGGTGGCCCATAGACTTTTGGGTCTAATTTACTTATCAATGGCCATTCCTACACACAACATGTACACACTCACGTTATAATATTTTCCTTGCTAATTTATGCAAAAACATAATTTGTTGTGTTATATATTTATACCGTAACCAACTGTAGGCTACATGGATTAAGACCAGCAAGCATTTGTCGACTGAATTCATCATCACGGAGCCAAAAGAACGTGTCCCCTGCAATGTGTAGAAAAGCTTTATATGTACGAATCCGATCACAAATAACTTAATAAAAAGATTACGTAATGAATGCATGCATGCTAGCTTACTGCGGACGGTTTCAGGTGGATCAAACTTGATAAGGTCATCTGCGGCATCAGCAACCTCATGAATAAGTCTAGGCAAAACACTTGCAACTTCTTTATCACTACCATTAATAAGAACTCCTTCGTCGAAAAGCTCGTCTATGTCCTCGAATAAAAGAAAGTCTTCGTCTTTTCCTGTCAAAGCCGTGCCTATGCGGGGTATAACAGAAAGGAGCAAATTATACAATGTCCTCGCTCCAAATGATACCGACTTTATCTCTGAAAAATCTTCATCGATTGGTACATAAAACGGGTCTGAAGATCTTGTCTCCGTCAACGGATCTGTTATTCAACATGGATTGTTCAGCAAATTAATTTTAAGTCAACTTTAATTGCAAACAACTATCTTAGATATATTGCTTTCGTTATATGAACCTGTGGAAGACATTTTCCGACCAGTACGGCAGCGCCTAGGGTAAGGAAATTTCTTGCCACCGAGCACCGGCCGTGCTAGATCGGAGCTCTTATTGTCGGGATCCCCAAGGTCGTTGTATACATCGTAATCGTAAATCCTCTCGAAAGCTTTACGCTCTCCTTGACCAGTGCCTCGAATGAACTCCAAATCTTTCTTTCTCAGCGACTTGAGGGCTTCTGGCGTTTCCGACGGCAGGTAACACTGTACAAATTACAAATAGATTAATAAGAAGGGTTATTAATGGCTGCCACCACCACGAACTGCTAATAAACATGAGTATACGGACAGTTATATAACCTTGTCGGCGAAGAAGATCCTCCTCTGGGGGTTATCATGACTTGAATGAACCCAAGAATTACATGTGAAAGTAACTTTGTCAGAGAGTTCAATTTTCTGTATATATATCTTGTTGCGGTAGTCATTCTCAACCAGCACAGCTCCGATCTCCCCAAAATCATCAGGGACGTCAAACTCGAAGGTGTATTGCCCACCAAAAGTATCATAAGGTGCTTTCGTTTTCACCCTCTTCGGCTCACCTTTCGCTGTATAAAAATCAACTCCAATTTTTATACCATATTCTTAAAATAAAAATTATCTTAACCTTCATATATTGCCATTGGGTTTTAAGTCTCCAGCTATCTTTTGATGTACTCTCTCTGGATTCCAAACATAAGTGATATATGAAATCGAACCGAAGTAGAGAGCATTATCTACTGGCATAATATATGTATTGTACACATGCATGGTATTGGTACGTAAGATATATATATATATATATATATATATATATATATATATATATATATATATATTATATATATATATATATATATATATATATATATATATATATAGTAGTATTACATTAAAACCAAATATATAACTATTAAAGTTCTAGTCAGATATTTTAGGTGGCAAATGCTATATGCCTGTAATGGAAAAATATAAAAATAAAGTTACCAAACTCTACGTATCGTATTTTGAATTTGAATTTCACACAGCATTTCCTGACTGTAAAAAGTAGGTATACGTACAATCAAGGTCTTTAGAAACGAACTCGAGCAACACATACGTCCATATGAAACTGACAGCATCGTCAAGAAGGCGGCTAGGTGTTACACTGAAGAGGTAGGTTGATTTGGTGTGGATGACACCACTGACTTTGGTGATATTAGCAAGAAAAGGATTTTTTATGGCTTTTATTTTACCAGCTGCTGAGGTAGGTCGAGTGCTACGACTATGTGTGGCATTGAATTTCTTTGTGGTTGTCGGCAGGAGGAGAATGGTGGTGGGGGAGTAGGCGGAGGAGGAGGAATGGTGGGTGGCGTCAAGGTCTCTAGCTAGGAAGGGCTTTTGCAGTGTGAATAAGTTATGGAAAGAGTGAGATTGGTTGATCTGAGAATTAAACATGTTTTTGTTTTTTGGTTGTGTGAGTTTAGAGTTGGAAGATCACCCTCTATTTATACTAAAAAATTGTTACTTTCTTAAACCGATTATTTTTTATTGTATGTTTGTTTCTTTGTTTTCTTAACGGTAAATTTAACTTTTTATTAAACTATTTTTAATTCTATCTAGGTTTTAGACGGAATTTGAACCTTGGATCTCATAAAAGTTAAATAACACTTGATACTACCGGTAGAAGCTCTCGTCTTGAATTAATTTAATGATAGGTTTGATTTCATAATTGCTCCTATTAATTATTTTTGTCATTTTAATATTTTAAATATTTTTTTGTTTGATGGACCTTAACCTAATGTTGATCTTTTGTAAATATTATTAGAAAACTTTTTTAAATATTATTAGAATATTTTATTACAAAGTTCTGTAGTTTAACCTTTCAATTATATATATATATATATATATATATATATATATATATATATATCTATATATATATATATATATATATATATCTATATTTTAAATATTTTTTTGTTTGATGGACCTTAACCTAATGTTGATCTTTTGTAAATATTATTAGAAAACTTTTTTAAATATTATTAGAATATTTATTACAAAGTCTCTGTAGTTTAACCTTTCAATTATATATATATATATATATATATATATATATATATATATATATATATATATATATATATATATATATATATATATAGAGAGAGAGAGAGAGAGAATTAGGTTAATATGTGGATCGACAATTATTGTTTGGATGTAGGGATTAGTGTGGACCCATCATTTTAAAATATTAATTTTGGTAAATAAATAATTAAATCATCAATCCCTTTTATTTAGGTAATTAGTTTAATGATTTAAAACCCTACCCTCATCAAGAAAACATCGACCTGTTCCTGCGTTCTTAAATTCCCCATCTCAGCCACCACCAAACTTCATATGATTGAAAGCCCTTCCCCACAAACCTACCATCGCACCATCGGTTCTCACCATCATCGGTTCTCTAAAGGTCTCACCGGTAAAATCAGCACAACCGCTACCATCTTCCGTCACTGTTTTTTCAAGGAGTCGTCACCAAACCCTTGATGGGGATATTTTGTTTCGGAGAAAATACGAAGGTATTTTGCTGCTATTAGATTCTATTGTTGTTGCATCTTCCTTCCCTGTCACCTGCTCTGAATAGAAATCAGTAATATTTTTTTCTTTACTGCAAGTGTTTCTTTTCTTTCTTTTTCCTGTTGAAATTGGTAATTTTTCATCTCTTTACTAAAATGTTCTGATCGTGTTCAATTTTTATGAAACATCCAAAAAAATACAAGCCAAAAATTTCGTTTGAAAACATTACTAAAACCATAATATCCAATATCATATAAGAAAAACCATAAGTCGTGTGTCTCAAAATGTCATAAAATATGTCTCATATCACAACTGATGTCAAATCATGTCAAAAATATCAGAGTCTAACTCCCAGGCTAAAACTGTGGTGTGTGTCATGCCATCATACCGAACCCTTCCCCTTGCTAGCTGAAGTACCTGAAACCAAAACTGAAACTGTAAGCACGAAGCTTAGTGAGCTCCCCCAAACTACCACATACCATACAATAACATATAAAGCACATATTGGGTCTTGCCCACTGCATCAGACTGAAGTCTGGAACTAACTAGGGCCTTGCCCTCTGCATTGGACCGAAGTCCGGAACTGACTAGGGCCTTGCCATCTGCATCGGACCGAAGTCCGTAACTGACTAGGGCCTTTCCCTCTGCATCAGACCGAAGTCCGGAACTGACTAGGGCCTTGCCCACTGCATCGGACCGAAGTCCGGAACTAACTAGGGCCTTGCCCACTGCATCGGACCGAAGTCCGGAACTGACTGAACATAGCATAACATAACCATAACATATAACAAATACTCATATATTGCATATTGCATCGGACCGCAGTCCGGAACACATAACACATAGACATGCCTGAATCACAAAGACATCAAGCATACTGAACTACTTCTCGGGACCACCCCGGCATCGGACCGCAGTCCGGAACTACTGCTATCTAAACGGGCCGACATTGTAGCCGTAGACCCATTTCTACTGGAAGGAAACTCACCTCGCAAGGCTAACTGCTGAAATGCTGATCGGGAACTGTCTGACTGCTGCTCCGGCAACTCCCCGGCTACAATTTCCACAAAGACACTTAGTCACACACTGATACTAATCTTAGGGTAAGTGACTATTTTACCCCTGGCCAAAGTCATCATCCTGGTCAAAGTCAACTACCAGTTGACCTGACTCGCCGAGTTGGGACGCCAACTCGTCGAGTCCCTATCCTTTCTTCTATTCCCCAACCCGACTCTACTCGTCGAGTTTAGCAAAGACTTGACGAGTTATCCTTCTATAATAACATCGAGTCAACCTTCATCTGACTCGCCGAGTTGTATGAACAACTCGTCGAGTCCTTCTTCATCATATGAACACGTCCAGTCTACGACTCGTCGAGTTGTATGAACAACTCGTCGAGTCTATTCTTGTGGGTAAGAAGATTGCCTTGGACTCGCCGAGTGTGTTCTTACACTCGTCGAGTCCCATGGTTTCCAGATTATGGTTAAATCTTAAAACGTCGAAACACTCCTTGAGACCTTTCTAAACCTCTGCTAACACTCAACTGGGCTCCTTTGAACCACAACAGATTGGGGACTCAAGCCCTGGACTCGCCGAGTTCCAAGAACAACTCGTCGAGTCGCCCATTGTCCACGTCTATAACTCGATTTCGGATGTAAAATCCTTATCCAAAAGGTAGATCTAGGCTTCTAAGGTCGATCTAACACGTAAAGTTATGAACTTTACGTGCATGCATGGAAGTATACGCTTTAAGGACCCAAAAAGAAGTCCAAAGAGGTGCATGGGCTAATATGGCCATAAAGCTTGCATCTTTATGCCATGAAATTGGTTCTAGAGTCTAGATATGAAGGTGAATCGACTTGGGACGTCCAAGTCTTAAGGATCAAGCTTATTGACCCCAAAACTCCATAAAGGGGCAAAGGAGAAAATCTATAAAACCACAAGTCAAGTTTTGAGCTTGATTACCTGAAAGTGAAAAGAAACTGATGTTGCTCCTGGATCTAGTCCTTCTCCCTTGATCCTTCTTCCTTCCAACACTTCTACTAGATACACAATGCACCAAAAACCCTCCAAGTCACTAAGTAAGCTCAAGTTTGCCAAAAGGCAATTAGGGTTTCGAAAGAAATGCTCTGGAGGTGATGGAGGCTGGACCTGGAGCTCATAATGTTGTTTAAATAAGGTGAAAACCCTTTAATTAGGGTTTCATCCAGACTGGCCTACTCGTCGAGTCCAAGCGCAGACTCGGCGAGTAGATTACTTAAATCCGTGTCCCAACCTCGCATCTACTCGACGAGTTAGGGTTGCCACTCGTCGAGTCACTAATACAAATGGTATAAAAGTAGATCAAATACGTACCAGAAACGGGGCGTTACATTTTACTTTGAAATGTATTTTTTATCTCATTTTCCTATTGAAAGTGGTGATTTTGTTCGTCTTTTATTATTGAAATTGTCCTTATTGTCTTCATTTTTTTTGAATCTATTAAATGGCAGATCATAAGTTAAATTGGTGGTTTTCTTGTATTGGAGCTATAATTCCACATACATTGATGTAGTTTTTGTGGTTTTTTTCATCATGTTTCTACTCTTCATAGAGACATTCTGCTTGGACTGATCAAATTGACGATATGTTTTGAAGGCAATAATTGTGTAGCATGTGTAATGAAAAGTACAATTCTCTGATGTTACCAACAGTAAAATACAGTTCCCTGATGCTACCAACAGTAAAATACATCTAATCCAACAAGAGTATATATGGTTGACATGTTTAGCTTGTAAACTTAAACTCGTATGTCTTATTGTTGCTAGATATAGCAGTTCTTGAAAAATAAAATCTTTAAAGATGAGTTGGTAATATTCCTTCACAAACTGTCATCTAGAAAATATCTAAAATTGAAAGATGGACATCCATATAGAGAATCAATGCAAAAACTTCCTAACATACTTTGTCTTTTCATTTTGCAGGAATTCTTGTAACAATTATTTTTTATTTCAAACAGATGTAGATAAACTCAATTCTATAGCCCAGTAAAGAAGATCAAGTTTATACTGTTATACATTTTACATTTTCTAGAGACATACGTCAAGAATATGTTATACATTCTTTAAGAATACCTTCCATTCTTTTAAAAAAAATCAGTGTTGCAGAAATCGGCATTGGCGACCGATTAATCGACGATTAATCGCTTGGCGGCCTCGAACCGATTACGATTAAGGTGTTTGGCGGAAATTGGTCAAAATCGGTCAAACTCGGGCTTGGCGGTCCTTGGCGGCCTTGGCGGTCCTCGGCGGTCATAGGCGAGAAATATTTAAAAAATTCAAAAAAAAAATAATTTTCAAATATTACACCAAAATTCTAAAATTTTAATTTTTAAGCTTTCAAATTTTAAAATATTATACTAAAATTTTTAAAATTTCAAAATATTAAAGTTTAAAATTTTCAAATACTTAATTTTATAGGAAATATTAATTTTTTAAATAATTTTATTAATAATTTAGGGTCCCCGATTAATCGCCGATTACTCCCCGCCGAGTCTGATTAATCGCTTATTTTCAGTCGACCGCCGAGCTACCGTCGAGCGATTTTTACAACCTTGAAAAAAATACATCACATTCTGTAAGAATATTGCATATTCTTTAAGAATTCTAATTCTTTTGATATATTTTTCCAATAAGAATGATTTTGATTCTTCATTCTTTATTTTGATGTTGCTGTAATTATTCATTATTATATTGTCCTCGCATCAAATGAAGAGTTTTCTTTTAAGAATTGTTTCAAATTTAGAAAAAATTTATTCGGTTGTTTTTGTAATTCTTTTAGAATTGTGTTTTGTTTGAAAGAATATTTATAAATATTCTTTAAGAATGCTCTTCAATTTG